GCCCGCGCGGGACGGGAAAGGAGCGGCGGCGTTCGCCGAAGAATTCAGAGACGGAAGGCGGGGAAGCTAAGGAAGGCAGGCGGTCTTCACCTTGGTGGCGGGGCTCCACTCCACTGCTGCGGGGCTCCGAGGACCCGGCGGCCTCTCCCGGCGGCAGGAACCTCCGCGGGCGGCCGGGACAACGCAGCGCTGCCCCGCGAGCGATCGCCCGAGCCGAGCCTCCGCCAGCTACCGCGGCGCGTCCCGAAGGGAGGACCTCATTTGTTCCTCAAAATGGGCAGATTCCCGGAACCACATTGCTGATATCTGGCGGGGAGAGAGGAGGGTCCCTACACGTTTAAGTCCTGGCTTTCTGCATTCTCGCTGTGATTCTGTAACGATTTTTCTTCTGAAAGGAAGCGGGCTAAAATGTCCAGTGCGGCTAAAAAGTATCCCAGTTTAGAAGCAAAAAAAAATTTTTTCAATAAATTTTTGTTTTATTTTCGGGTGCGAGCCGTCGCGAATTTTTTCCCTGAACGCCCAAGCCTAAAATGAAAACGCAAAACAATCTGATTTCTATAAATTAGGTTTGTGACTGGACGTTTTCCTCCACATTTTTTAATAGGAAAAAAAATTTAATGGGCTGTTTGAGAAAATGGAGACACATATTTTAGTCGTGTCTGGAAATGTTGAGAAAAAGAAACGTCGGTCTTTTCATTTGTTTCCAATAAGCCCCAAACGCAATCTTTCCAGACTATTTTACAGGACGTAATTGGGGTTTGAGATTGGGTGGGGGGGAGGTTCATAGGCTCGGCTCTACCAGCAGAATTGATTGATATTTGCTTTTTGCTGTTCTGCAATCAAAGTTTAGCTGTATTTGAAGGCTCTAAAACGCTGGGGATTCCACTGACAGCCAGAAGTGTCCCTCTGGGCAGCAGGTTCTGCTGAGATACTAGGACCCCAAGAAAGGGAAATGTGGAAAGTTGTGTTGCAAGGAAATTTTATGTTAAACTATATGTGTATTTGGTACATGAATGAGTCGTGAAGAAAACTAAGAAATATGGACCAGAACAGCTCCGAAGGCTATACTATCTCATAAACCAAACAGAAACAAACACAGGAAAAGATTAGGGGTAAGACACCTCCTGGAATGTTCCTTGCATCTCTAAGCCCTTCTGACAATTTAATGGAGCTTGAACTTGGGCACAGGCAACTCTTCTGTCCTTTATCCTTCCCTAGTCTAGATTCAAAAACAATGACAACAAATACATGTGTGTGTTGAATTTTACCTGTTCTATTTTTATATTTTAAGAACATGTGTCTTTAACAGCAAGTAGCCCAATATTTTATTCCTCAAACCAGTTGGCAGAAACATTCAACTGGAAAGTTGTTTCAAAGATTCAAGTAATCTTGGTGGCTTCCAAATCAAGGACTTAGTGCATGGCTAGTAAACCAGAAGTGGAAAACTGTAGACCATAACCAGCCTGAAACAAATCACACAGAATAAATGGGAAGGGGCAAAATCAAATCAGGAATTTCGAATCAAGAAGTGCACTGGCCTCAGATTCTAAACTATCTTGGTTTTTATTTAGGAAGTAAGGGTGGTAATACGAAGTCAAATCAAACCACCTCTCGTGCCTTATCTTTCTAATTCAGAAAATGAGAGGTTGGATAGATGAGCCCCTTTCAGTTGTAATCGTCTAGGCACAAGAAGTCCTAAGGCAGAAATTTTGTGTGCTCCCAGAAATGTAGGCAAAAGTAGGCTTATTATATAGCAGAAGGTCACCAAAGTTAGCTATCTAGTGAGTAGCTTCTCTGACAAAGACGAGCTAACTTGTATTCTTGTGTGTACTGAAAAAAAAAATCATAACACTTCTAAGAGGGAGAGAACTTTACAGTCCCACCCAAAATAAAGATGTTGTCCATGCATTGCTTTCAAAATTTTAGAACAGAAGGGTATCCTGTCATTCAAAACAGTAAATTAAAGACCCAGACTCCTAGAGCTTCTACTGCTAGAATGATTATTCTTCGAGAAGAAGCACAAACAGCAGTGACCGTTTCTGGGTGTTTTTTTTTTTTTTTCCACAGACGTGCTCAGCCATCAGAAAAGCTTAATAAATCCCTATTTAGTATGCATTTATTCAGTGATTACATGAACTTTGACCTCTGAAGAGCTGTAGCAATTAGCTTCAGTGGCCAACATCTTCTCTCACCATTCCCAACTGGCTTCCTTGGGTCTTCCTTTCTCATCTCAATAGTCCAGGAGAGTAAAAAATTTTAAAGTTGACTTTCTACCTGAGGTACTTGCTTTTGCACAAATGAATCACCCCTTCCTCCTTTCACCTCCTGTCTAAAAAGTCATCTCAGACAGATATTGGGGCTCTGATTGTCGATATTACTCAAATGCAAATGGATTTCAATTCAATCTTGCCCTGCACTCTCGCAAGGAAGATAAGCTCTCACGGCCCAAAGAGCCTCATTTCATAGCTCTTGGCATCTGAAATAAATCGGATCTCTTCTGTCAGGCTAATTTAACATTTTAAAAATATTCAATGTAATTTATTTTAAGTCAAATGAAACCTAGTGGATTGACAGAAAGCTAGAGAAGGAGGGAGGAGAAGGGCAGCTGGAAGCTTCTCTCCCCACCACCAAAAAAAAAAAAAAAAAAAAAAGCCAGGAAGGGAGAGGAAAGTGTTTTAAGTTTCTAGTAAACACTGTTTAGCAAAAGAATAATAGGAAAGTCGCCCCTCTCCCAAAGAGGGATGGAACTATAATTGTTGCCTTTAGCAGAGAGCTCAGATAAACCGCTGGGACTCATTCTAAAGTGACCCATCACTGCATTCATCTCTTCTTGAACTTTCAGTGAACCTGAGATTAAACAGGGGTGAGCAGCTAAGCAGTTTGTTGTTAGCAGCCTTTTCAACAACCCTTTCAGACTGAGTAAATATTGATCGGTTTGAATCTGATTGCCCCAGAGGAAAACACCATGGCATCTGAATAGCCTCCAAAAGTAAACTTTCAAAGGTGAAGCCCAGAGCAGACTTCAGAGCAAGATCTCAACTCAGCCTTAGGTTGGGGACACCCTGAATTTCGGGAGTACTTTGAATGAGTGTGAAGGAAGTGAGGAGAAAATGTTTGAATACTGGAATTTTGTATTGTAATTATCCCAAGTCCCTAATTGACACTCTTGTCCTTTTTAAATTTATCAGTAAAATGTTATTTTCTGTTTTCCATCTGTTGTTTCGGTCACCATTGCTGTCATTTTTCAGGGAGCTAACCGTGTTCCTCAGAGACCAAAACGGAAAAAGAGAGATCTAGAAATAGGGTGTGATAAGGGCCTCTGATTTAATCGATTGGGACAACTAAAAAGATACAAATGTTTTCCTTGTTGAAAGGTATATTAATGTTTCCTAAATGCATTGCTTGTTAACTGATTTATTCCACGACCTAGAGAAGGCTTTGGATGTTTAGCCATAATTTATTGTTCTCCGCTCTCTCAGCTACATTAAAACCAGTACCTTGAAGACTAGAATCTCCAAGATTCCAGCAGGTCGGACCCTGCTTTTAGATATTGAAATCACGGCAATGGCATGCAAATGACACTTTAACACATTAAAGAATTTGGAAACCAGCCATCTGTTTTGCTGTGTGGCCTTACACTAATAAACAAAAGATACTGTATAAGGCCAGGGTGGGAAATGAAAGAAAGAGTTGGCCGACTTTGAAGTTCTCCTCCATCCACTTGAGTCTTTTAGAGGCAACCCCAGAGCCCAGGATCCCAGAGCCAAGGGGAGGGCAGCGGGTGCCCTTGATATGGCCGCAGCAACTGCGCCTGCAAAGTCCCGGCTTGCTCCCTTTGACAGAAGTACAGGAAATCTCCTGGGTGCTCTAGGAGGCCTGCAAATTCCAAGTTTTTGTAGGCTTTCTCCTCCCACTGCCAGCCCATCCTTTGTAAAACCTGCTTTGGAGAGGAAGGAAGTCATACGCCTGTATTTGTGATGTTGTATTTCTCCTCTACCCTTGGAGCTAAATTAAAGCCTCTGAAAATGTGTGATGGTAAAGGAAAAGTGGTAAGAGGTCTGGGAGGAGAGCCATTTTGAACTTTAATTTGCTGGCTTCCTCTGTTAAAGAGCAGACACTTGCCTCAGTTGGAAGCTACTTGAACATCGAAAGACTTCAGGGCAGCTTTCAGAAGTTCACCTGGAAGAATCTGTTGAGCCCGGAGAAGAAAATAAAAACTTTTTTTCTGGGTTAGGGGATTAGAACTGGGTTATGGGTTAGAGCAGACCCATTACGGCCATGCTGGCTATAACATCAAAGCTGAATCTGATGGGAGTGAGATGTGTAACCCAGAGGGGTTGGGCAGGAGGGAGGACATGTAGAGAGTGGCAGGAAGGGATGCACATTGACAGGAGGGATGGGAGGAGAGATGCAGCAGGCTTCTGAAAATAGACATACTTGGTTTAAAGGGTGGAATATACTGGAACACTGCCTGACAAGCCGAAAAAGAAAAGGGGTGAGGTGGAGGCCTCATCCTCAAACAGCTTTATACTGGAGCTCATTAAATGTGAATCTCTTAGCTCTTGGTTCACTGATGTGAGGAAAGACGGACTGAAGAGTTTGGGCTTTTGAAGGGAGTTCTGTTTATATATACGTCAACATTCAGTTGGAGGTGAAAAGGTTAGCACTTGACCCAGGAAGTATCCATGTTTGTTTCAAAAATAGATCCGCTTCATAAATTTCTTCACCATTCATTTTTTTCCATTATGAACTTGGATTATTTAATAAAGGAACTATTGTTATTTTAAAGAAAATCAACCTATTAAATAGGCATTAGCTAGGTGCTATGACACGCATAGGGGAAATTTCAGCTTCACAATGGAAAGCATTTACTTTTTTTCAAGAAAAGGCTCACCTCTGAAAGTACACGCCAGCCTTCCGTCCCCCGCCCCATGTGAAATGAGCCAACGTTGTTGGAACCAACAAATTGTAGCCAAGCCAAATACAGGGATGCTTAAGCATATGTGAAACTTGAATATATTTATTACAGACATCTTAAGACCCGTAAACTCTGCTCTGGATCATATTACTCCAGGATCTCAGAGCTGTTCATGATTGTACAGGAAAGGGGGAATATCATAGGCTCACAAAGAATAACTGATATAACTCAGTGTGGGACTTTAGGGACATCAAAACATTGTGCGACATGCAAAAGACTATTCACGAATCACACAAAATATACATTCATTGTGCCATCCATCACATTAACAGTTGAGCTGAAAATACATCATATCCAGCTAAGATAACTGTGGAAGGGAGAAGCTGCTTTGAATAATACCTCTAGGTTCTGAATAATCCAGCACAAATTTTAAATAGAGTGTGGGCAGAAAAAAAATCAACGGGTGGGGATGGAGAGAGACTTAGCACAGGAAGCAAGGTTTTTGAACCTTGTGTTCTGTAGACCTTCTTAATTCACTGAAAGAACAAATGCCGGCTACCCTCTGAGGCATCTGACTGAGTTTAAGTGAGCGATTTTATTCTTTAACCTATAATCACATATAAAATTGTACCAGCTTTGAGTTACCCACCCTGTTTTAGTCACTTAATCTAAACATTTCTAGAAAATCTGTATAAAGATAAATCTCTCAGGACAAAGTATTTACAACCAGCAAACACACACATGAAATTGAATTAAATAAAGGGATGAATTAATTGTGTAAACACGCTCATAGTGCAGCTCTTCTTTATGAGCTCCTGGACTCTCCTTTCTCTCCGACTTTAAGGGCAAAGTAGGGGAGAACTGTAAATATACAGGCAGGTAAAGGCCTTCTTCTGACATGTTTCTGCTGGCAAAGGAGACTATACTCCAAGGGACATCTGAAAGGAATGGATTCTGTGGAAATCTCCTAAAGGTAGGGAGGGGTGTTGGGGCTGTCAAAAAATTAATTATGGCACCTACTCTGCATCAAGGAGTTAGCACACACACCCAATCAAGCCTCTAATCTAGAATTCTCTGGAAACACATTATCCTGGCCAGGAGCTTCCCAGATAGGATCAGAAAGGAAGAGAGAGACTGTAAATGGAAAGGAAGATAAGCTAAGAATGTGCTTTGGGTAAGAAGTCCCCAGCCCTCAGAGAAGCCTGGGCTGCGGAGTCTGGGGCTGGGTGGGCCTCAGTGGGAGGTAGTCAGAGTGTCTGAGGTAGAGGATCCCGGGGAAGGAATGCAGGGCGAAGAGCTGGACTTCTCTGAAGATTCCTCAGCCTTCTCCTCACTTCCTGGCGGGGTGGCAGGAGAGATGGGCAAGAAGCCCTCCTTCTCTCGTTTCTTCTGCTTCATCCGGCGGTTCTGGAACCAGATCTTCACCTGGGTCTCATTGAGCTGCAGGGATGCGGCAATCTCCACCCTACGGGCCCGGGTCAGGTACTTATTGAAGTGGAACTCCTTTTCCAGCTCAGTGAGCTGCTTGGTGGTGAAGTTGGTGCGCACTGCATTGGGTTGACCCACGTAGCCATACTCTCCAACTTTCCCTGCGGGCACGGTGGGGAGCGATGAGAGAGAAGGGTAAACATTTTTACAATGCATATAAGATCCCCTACACGCTCCAGAGCAACATTCAGGTAAAGGGGAAGAGAGAATTTCGCTATAGAAACTGGGCTGGGTGACTGATGAGGTGTAAAGTGTTAATCCAAAGTCAACCATTAGCATGGTCAGACCCGTGATTAATGGAGGCTGGAGATATTAACGGAACCACACACCATCACCACCCACACACCCCTACCCACTTCCTACTCCAGAACCTCTAAAAACTCAGCCCTTTGAGAAACACAACGATCCCAGATGCTCCTCTGCCCCACACACCTGGGCAATCTCTCCGCACAGAACAACACCAGTGGGAAGCAAGAAGTTTTGTCTGTTGTTGTTGTTGTTTTAAGTATTAATTTTCCTTGGCAACTAAGCAAACAGGCTCCTTCCAGAACCAACAAGGAACATGCAAGGAATGGCAAGACTGACCTGTTTTGGGAGGGTTTCTTTTGACTTTCATCCAGTCAAAGGTCTGCGCTGGAGAAGACGTCTCTGATGTAGGGGAGCGACAGGCTTCTTGGTGGCTGGCGTGGAGAGGGGACAAGGAGTTATTATACGTGGCCAGGGCCAGGCTCTGGTGCTCTTGTCCATATGAGTGGTGAATGTACTGAGGCGAGCCCACCGCGCCCCCGGCATAACCCTGGTGGTGGTGGTGATGCTGGACCATGGGAGATGAGAGATTTCCAGAGTAAACTGCGGGAGCGCACGAGGGGTACCCACCACTTACTTCTGCTTCCTGATTTAACGCGTAAGGGCTGTAAGGCGCGCCGAAGTTCTGCGCGCTGTAGCTTGGACCACAACTCGAATGGGAGTAGGACACCCCCAGGTTCCCGGGAGTCTGGTAGGTGGCCGGTTGGGGGTGGTGATGGTGGTGGTGGTGGTGGTGGTGGGGCGGGCTGATCTGCACCCCCCTGCCCACTAGGAAGCGGTCGTCGCCGCCACAGCTGTTAGCACTGACCGCGCACGACTGGAAAGTTGTAATTCCATGGTCGGAAGGGTAGGCTCGCGCTGAGCAGGTCCCTGAGTCGCCACCGCTGAGGATGGGGTATTCCAGGAAGGAGCTCATTCTTTCATTGTCCATCTGTCACTGAGGGACGGGGTCCTGCGAAGCCCTGGGTGACCGTGCCAACTTTCTCACTTCCTCCATGGGGCCGGAGAAGAAAAATGATATGAATGTACAGTGCGCAAGAGGGGGGGCGCGAGGGGGGAGGGAGCAGGGGGAGGGGCACGTGACTAAGTCAGCCAATGGCGGAGCCTCCTGCGAAAGTTTGCTGGCTCCCGCGGTGATGGATCACCGTTTCAGTGGCATTTAAATCCCCGGCGCTCCTCAGTCTAGGTGACGCGCAGTCGCCCCCCCAGGCAGCCCAGGCGGCGGCAGCATCTGCGGCGGCTGCAAGGACAGATTTCGGAGCTCTGGGCCGAAGGGGAGCAGAAGCCACCCTCTGCGCGCGCCGACTCCGCTCTCCCGCCCTCCGGGAGGTGGGGGCTGGGAGGCATCCTCGTCTCCGCCCCCTCTCCACCGCGCACTGAGAGTTGAACTGGCAAGAGGTGAGAAGGGAAGAGGGCTCCGTCTCTCTTGGGTCGGGAATCAGTGGGCCAGAGCTCGCTGGCCTGCCACTGGCTCAGGGGCCGAGCCCGCAGTGCGCGGAGCAGGAAGGGTAGCTCCCCGGGCGCTTTCACTACACAGCCCCTGCTGTGGGGCCGGGGCAATAAGGCGCGCAGAGGACAGTGGCGTAGGACGAGGCCAGGCCACCAGCTGTCCAAGCTCCGCAGGGAGAGGGAAGTGCGCAGAGGATTGGCCTGGAGAACCCCGGGTGAGCGTGCGGGGAACAAGAGAAAAGGAAGGGAAAAAACAAACAAACAAACAAACAAAAACAAATTTCCCTTCTCCAAGGAGGGTCTCCGAAGCCTACTCCCTCCACCCCAACCGATTATTAGCAAGGCAATGAGGAGGTTCTGTAATTCGACGCTCGGGAGCGGGGGATTGGTAGTAGTTAAGCTTGCCGGAAAAGGCCGGGGGTGGCCGTGCTCTTCGCCCTCCCTCTCTCCTCGCTCTCCGCCCCTTTCTCCTCCCCACTCAGCTTTGCTCCGGGAGCCCTACGGGATCCGGAGCAGCTCGGCGGCTGGATTTTGAAGGGTAGGAGGCGGGGGAGAAAGATGACGCTGGCGGACGTGGCCAGCGTGGGGGCCAGGAGGCGCGCTGCAGGCCATCTGCCGGCTCCCTGGGACCCAGGAGCCTGCGCGCTCCGGCTAGGGCCTCAAAGGGCGAGACCACAGTCCAACAAAATACGCTGGACAGCCCCCCCTCCCCCGCAATGGTGCTCGTTTTCTGGAGGGGGAATGTTAGGAGTGGTAGGGTTTCCTTTATCCACTAGCCGCCGCCCCCCCCCCCCATTCTACTCCACGTCTGAAGTGGGTAGGGGCTGGCAGGTGGGAGGGGCGGTGGACAGATGGCTGATGGTGGACGGGATATTTTCTTCTTCCCCAACAACACCCCCTCCCCTTTGTAACTAACTGTGTAGTTCCTTGTGCGAACCTTCAAGTCTTTCCCTAGAGAAACGCGTGCAAATCTGAGCGTCATCCCAGGCCAGGGGTCCTGTTCTCCATCACCTTCATCCTACCCTGATGCTGACGGGGTCGTTAATTGCTGTTTACTATTGGGTTTCGTGTCAACCCTTGGCTTGTAGAGAGAAAATGCCGAACTGAGACCGAGAATTGATGCATTCTTAGGTAAAAGGAATCCAGAGATCATCCAAGAAGCTTTGCAGGCGATGCAGTATAGATTTTTCCCTGACCATGTTTACCACATCGGAATCGGACAGATAAAATTTATCTGAGGATGGGGTTCCCACTCCCCTCTAGCTTTCCCTCCCCAGTTAGAAGAAGGAAGTTTTGCTTGAGGCATGCACATTTCAAATGTGTTAGTCAACCTTTCTGCATTCTGTTTTCCACATATAGAAGTCTCCCTCACCCCAACCTGCCCCCACCCATAAAGGGAACTCTTGCAGACATTTGACTACGAATTCCCTCAGTAGCAAAGAAACATTTCCCCTGAAACATTTTCTTTCGAAACGGTATTTTTCTGTGACCTTTGACCCATCCCCAACCACGGTTAAGAGAGAGCAGGGATAGGAAAGGAATTCCTGCCCCAATTTCAGCACCTGGGGATGTTCATCTTCAGGAAGGGAAAAGGAAAGGCGGCCTTCCTGGAGGCGGCTTCCTTGGGAGCTCCAGACTTCCAACGATGGGAGAGAAGGGGCTCCTGTCGAGGAGGAGGTAGGACGTGAGAGGGTCGGTGCAGGCATTGCGGACGATCAGCTTTCCGAACCAAAGGACGTTCTTTCCCCTGGCCTCATTCTTGTCCCTTTGTTGGCTTCTTCATCCCGGGTTCGCGCAACCCCCTTCGCCGCAGGACTTGAGCCACAAAGCCGCCCGGGGCCTCAACCGCTCTCCTTCCTCTGCTAGTTCTCGGCCTCGGCGCTCCACTCCTTCCACTTCTCTTCCTGCCTCCGGGCCTCATTCCCGCGCCAGCACGGGTGGGAGTGTGTTTCTTGGGACCACATGCATGCACTTGCACGTAAGCCCGCAAGGACTCGGCCGGCGACCGACCCACCTCCGCGAACTGCTCCCGGCTCCCGGCAGGCCGGACTCCTGAAGCCGAGCCTGCTCCGCCCCGGCTGGCCGCCCAGAGCGCTGCTCTCCCGGTGTTGCTTACAAAGGCAGTCTAGTCTGGCCTCGAGCCCGTGAGGCTTCCGTAGCTCCGTGCTTTCCCCACCCCCACGAAACCCCGGGATTCATACCGCCTTGTACAAGACCCTGGTTTTCTGAGCGTGTAGGCCAGCGCCCCACGACTCGTGCTAAAGTCTCTTTAAATGCCCTGGGAGAGTGGGCGAAAGGAGAGCTTAGTTACTATTTAAATGATGGCCTGCAAGCGGCTTTCTGGCCTCAAAGTGCCTCTTTCAGGGCTCTTCTACTAGAAAGGGAAGGAGCAAGAAAGATACAAAACGCCGCCGAGGCCCGGAGCTGTTCATGGCATCCGCAGCTCAGCCAAGCTGTTGTTTTAAAAGAGCAATAAAAATGAATTATGACTAAATGCCTTCTAACTTAATGCTTTCGGACGGGGATCCCCGGCAAATACGTAAGAGGATTTTTATTTGTGCATGTGTTCCTGCAATTGATCTCTTTGATGACATTCTCATTCATAGAAAGCGTTTGATTTATGAGCGTAGGACGAATCGCAAACAGCAGCGGCACAGCCCTGGCTGCGGCCGCGCCGCCCTGTTCAACTCAGCGACTGGGGCTGGAGACCCGCTGGGGCCCTCACACGCCTCCGCCGCTGCCAGGATTTAGGGGGCAAGGGGCTGAGAAAGGTAGGGTGCAAACCCATGGAGAAAGACCGCGATTTCACCGTAACTTCCAAGCCTTTGCTATTAAGAGCCGGGTTCCTAAATCAACCCGCCCCCTGCACATGTTGCTTACAGGCTGCGTTTTCTCACGGTAAGTTAGTAGCCATCACAGCAGAGCTCAGGGAGGGAAAAAAACAGCATGTGGAGATGTAAGAAGGGGGAAAAAAGCAGAAAAACCCAGTAACGTGCCCTAGATCACATTTTATTGATATTTCATTTAAAGTGCTTTTTCTCTTTCTCTCTCTAGAAACTGGGTTAATTTATAACCTGGGGCGCAGAAACTCTCCATTTTAAATCTCAACTTGGTAACCTGACTTCACAGCTTTAATGATCCATTATTTGTCATGTAAACAGATTTAAGAATGAAATATTGATTTTTCTATCCCTGAAAAAAGAATCCTAGAATGACTGAACCAGAGGATTGGAGAGAACCCTTTCTGAAGTGCATTTTTCAGCTAGTAACCATTGTTTTGTTTTGTTTTTGTTTTTCTCTACCTTTTAGGTCTGTTTGCCTGGACCCATCAACAGCTGGGAGACTAATCAACCACACTGAAAATGTTTCCGGGATTGTGGGGGAGGGGTTGGAATGTAGATGTTTGAAACAAATGTGTATAAATAAATGAATTGTTGATAACTTAGTTATTGACCTGAAGACTGGTAGCTTGTTAAAGAAACTCCATGTTTCTCCTTCCTGGAGTTGGGGGTTTCTGTAGGCACTTTATTTCTCCACTTTCAAAGGCTTGGGCTTGGCCCAACTCTGAGGCTGCCCAATCCCGCTTCTATTACCAATTTAAATCTATGGCTTGAACCTCTACACTAAAAAACCAAATCCATTCCCTTTTTAAAGAAAGAAAGAAAAAGAAAAAAAAAAAAAACACTTCTTGGAAGTCCTAACCATTTTCTGGCTTTCTTTTCATTGGTGTCTATTGAAGACTTTGAACATGCCCCCTTAATAAATATATTAAAATTGAAAAAAGAAGATGAATTGTGACCAGAATTTTATTTACCAAGTTAGACTAAAGGAGGAAAAAGAAACCGTTATGAGCCTTGAGAAAGGGGGGAGGGAGAAAAAAATAAGAAAGCTACTTATAGCAAAGGAGAATTTATTCTACCAAAAATACTCATGACAATGCATCCTAAGGTAATACAAAAATAAAAAGAAAGTGAAGATACAATTATATGATCACTTTCTTGCAGGCCTCATATATTGCTTTCAGAAAATCACATAGAGGGTCGTTGGATTCAATTTAGAACAACTAAAACTCCAAAATAATCTGTAAAAGATGGCTCTGAAACGGACCAGGAGACTCACTAAACAGAAAATCTTCCACATTTAGAGGACAGACAGGGTAGGTCAAGAAGAAAAGAAAATAAAAATCAACTCTCTCGGAATAAAAGAAGGCCAAACCACCTGGTCAAAGGGGTTTTTGTTTTGTGATGCTTTGTTTTGCTTTAATGTTTTTAGTAATTCAGATGCTGCAAGTCGATTGTGGTGAGTGTGTCTGTAAAAAAGTCAAAGCTGTCAGCTGAAATATCTACGGGACTGTCCAGGGAACCTGGCAAACTGGGCGAGACAGCATCTGAAAGCTGCAGGCAGGAATCTGTGGAAAAAACGTTAAAGTCCTGCAAAGAGGGGACCTCGAGGGCCTCGGGACTGTCATTGTTTAGGCCAGAGCCACAGTTCTGGCCCATTGTTGACAAGCAGTTAGAAACAGTGGGTGACTGGTGCTGAAAATGTTTCAGATTTTTCTCATTGCTGGTTAAAGGCGAAACTGGGAAACTTTGGGAGTCGCCATTGTGTCCGTTGGGAGCCTGCTGCTGAGAGAGGGCATTTTGCTGAAAAGTGTAACCTTCCCTCTCCAGAAGGGCCCCAGAGACGCTGAGGGCTTGCTCAAAGAGCGACTTCTCCTCCTCGTCTTCCTCCACTTTCTCAGAGTCTTCCAGGCTTTTAAATTTCCCTTCGCTGTTTTGGTTCTCCTTGCACTGGGTCTGCCTCTTGTGCTTCATCCTCCGGTTCTGAAACCACACTTTCACTTGTCTCTCAGTCAAATCCAGCAGCGCTGCAATTTCCACCCTTCGGGGTCTGCAAAGGTACTTGTTGAAATGAAATTCTTTTTCCAGCTCTAAAAGCTGCGTGTTGGTGTAAGCAGTTCTCAGGCGCCGCGAGCCCCCGCCGCTGCCATCGGCGATTTCCAGGGATTCTGCGGAAAGGGAAACCAACAAGAGACACACGCACAGTTGGAGGTGGAGGGGTCCGAGCGGGGTTATTCCACTGGAGAATAAATATAGCAGAAAAGATCAACTGCAACAAAATGGCCGCCCCTGGATGCAGTAGAGCTATTGTGCTGCCTTTCCTGGGAGCCCAGCCGGGGGAGACCCCATCTCTTCCACCTCCATCAGATTCCTGCCTGTGGCTCCCCCCAACCTCTCCATCCGGGAGCAAACTTTATATTAGCCACACCACAATTTATAATTAATGCATCAGCTGCTTAGCTGAGCAAGAGCGATCTATCACTCTTCATTACTGTCAAAAAGCCAAACTCTAGGACAACTAGACAAGAGGAGGTCAGTTCCAACTCAAATAAATCATCCCACGTTACACAAGTTAGGGAAAGTTCCCCCCCCCTTCTTAAAAATATATATATGTCTCATTGTGCAGCGCAGGATCCCTTTTCTCTCCATCAAACCCACTCCTGAGCCCACAGGGGAAGGGAAGGCAGCCAAGCATCTCTCCCTCTCTCTCCCCCTTCTCTCCCAGCCCACGCTCCCCTCCCCCATAACCGCTCCCCGGGCAGTGCAGAAGGGGAGAAGGGTCCCGGGACCTGGGGCCAAGTCTCTGGACTGACCTTTGTGGCTGAGGCAGGCAGGGCCGGTGGCGGCGGCGGCGGCGGCGGCGGCAGAGGCGGGCGGCAGCGCGGTTTTCTTGGCCGCCTTCTTCTCCTTCATCCAGGGGTACTCGGGCGGCTGCAGGGCGCCGGCGGGCACTGGGCTGCCGCGGCTGCCCGCGGGGCTCGGCTTGGGGCGGCCGCCAGCGCCGTGGCGAGGGTGACTGCCCGGGTTCAGGCTGGGAATGGTCTGCTCAAAAGGAGGAGGAATCAGTGTCGAGTGTGAAAGCGTCGAGGTCTTGATTGATGAACTTTGAAATGTATCAGCGACAGGGGGAAAAGATGTCAGGCACTCAGCGAGCGACGGCTGGCTATTGATAAAACCAATCTCTCGCTCAAATTCGTAATTCATGGCCTTCTCCTTGGAGCCCCCTCGGAGAAAAAGTTCCCTCTTCTGGAGGGGCTTTGGGGGGGCAAGGCCCAGGAAAAAGGCGAGAGCAGAGGAAAAAAAAATCTATCATAGAAGATCGCTGCTGGGGTGTTTTTTTTCTAATTCACTGATTACAGCCGTATGGGGACCGCGCTACTATTAAACTATTGAATTCATGGAGACAAGGTTGAAATTGGACCGAATTGGCTGTCACATGATTGCTTCTGCCCAATGACAATTTGGGCTTTAATCAAAAGAAGCCACTGTCTGTTTGATTGATCCAAAAAAGTCGGGAAGGAACGCCTCATTGGGGGCCAGCGAGGCTTTATTTACACTTTTTTCAGGGCAAAAATACATATACGTGGGTGTGGGTGGGGATGCCCGGGAGTGCGTGGGGGCGAGGGTGCCTTCCTGCCTCCTGATTAGCACAGATCGGGTGTGTGCGCCTGGGAGTGTGTGGAGTGTGAGTGTGTGCGAGTGTGAGCCTTGCTGCCGGGCCCGCCGGCGGCTGCCCTCTGCCTCCCCCGCACACTCCGCGCATTGTTTGGGACTGTCGGGAAGACGCCTCGCACCTCACAAATCATTTAAGCACCTCAGTCTGACGCCTGCAGTCATTAACAAAGTAATCCATTAATCTTCAAAGTTTTGACACCCGAGAGCCCCGCATCCCAGCCACATAAGTTCTGCTAAGGCAGGAGGAAGGAGCAGAGGGAGAGGGGAGATGAGACCGGGAGAAGAAAAGAGAGAGGGAAGAGGGAAGGAGGGAGGGAGGAAGGGAGGGAGAGAGGGAGAGGGAAGAGAGAGCGAGAGCGAGAAGAGAGAGGAGACACAGAAAAGAGAGGGTTCATTTTGGGGTCTCCCCTCTTTTATTTCCTTTTCCTCCTCCGCCTTTTCTAAAACCAGTTCCTGGATCTCGGAAGTGATCTGTTTTCCTTCCTCTCCGTCTTTCCCTCTTTTCTTCTTTTTCCCTCTTCTCCCCTCTCCCCTTCCCTCTCACTTCTATCCATCTCTCCTTCCCCAAACCCCTCCCGCATGCCCTCGCCCCCCTCCCAAAGCCCAGCTCGGAGTCCGCGCCCCTGGACCCGGACCCTGGCCCATTGTTAGCCGGCTTTTCCACGGCAGCTATGCATCTGGCTCCAGAGGGAAGCGGAAGACGGGAGGCGGCTCTCGAAGCTTCCCAACCTTCCTGTGCCATCAACTTTTCAAGAGTGGCTCGAGAAAGATAGATGCATGTGCCAAGCAAGACAACAACCCCAGGTCCATGTGTCCAAATCCCTGTAGCCAGGGCGGCGGCCACCCAAAGCAGTGCCACCTGGAGCAGGCTCCTGCGGCTCCTGGCATTCTGGGTTTCATACCCGTAGGGCTCGGGTGCGGTGAGTATTTCTGATTTCTAGGAAGTCTGTTGGAAGTTAGCAGCAGGGAGGGAGAAGGCGCTTGTTCCTTTCTCTCTCTCTCTCTCTTTCTTTCTTTTTCTTTTCCTCTCCTTCTTCTCTTGGTCCTTGTCGTTCTTATTGTGGGCTTGTGGGTTCAGATGCAAAACGTGCTCCCTGGCATCCCAAATTGTCTCCTGCACCTTTCTGCTGCTTGGTCACCTGGGATGTTTGCACTCAGGTTCTGCTGTGGGAAACAGTACCGCAGGTGAGAGGGGGCAACCTCAGGAGGAATTATAAAGGTTCTCTATTCTCTGTTCACGCTCTCTTTTTTTCCAATTCGGAGACTTGAGACTGAGGGCATCTTGGACTGTGCTGGAGGTTTCAAAAGATAACACCTTTAGGTACCAAACAATAACTTTTAAAAAATCCACTGAGCCAGAAAGAGGGAAAGAGGCTGAGAGAGAAATCTGAAGGTATCTCTTTTCCCTCAGACCCTGAGGATGATGATTCGCTTTTGCTTCCTTTGAAATGGACCAAGTGATCAGACTCCCCCAGGCCGGCAGGCATCCGTGGCAGGAAAATAAATCATTCTGATGGCCAGGGAGAGAGAGGTTGGTGGGGGAAAGAAATCTACGCGGAAAACAAGAAAGGCCAACCACGGCACAAGGCTAGGACTCCATTTCTGAGGCCGGCATCAAAGGGGGCTTGGGTGGAAATTAGATATAAAGTGGCCTCCGTCATTGACTAGCCCAGAGCATCGCCTTACAGATAGAGATGCTATTTTGGAAAATGTGAGGTTTTTCAGTTTTCTTGCTTTTATTCCAAACAAAGCTCTAAAGGAAGTCTGGGTGCGATCAATCTTGCTCACCAAAAGCCTTGACAGCTTCTGGCCCTTAAGAACACATTTCAGCTTCGAGCTTTTTCCAAGATCAAATGTGGCCGAGCAAAGAGGAGAGCAGGAAACGCAAGTAAACAAGGAAAACTAGTCTTTTTAAAGATCTTTTTGGCAGCAGGAAGAGTATAAGGCGGCTTTTAGGAAAGGTGCTTTTGCACATTCTGGAATAGTGGCTTTGGCATTTGTTCTTACAGAAATAATATTGAGGGGTTAAGGGGAGGGGGAGTTAAGGAGAGGGAACAGCGCTGCCCCCATATCGCTGAGGCTTTGTCAAGGGCTGCGTGGGTGAGAGCTTTCTGCTCGCCTCAGCGGCCTTAATTCAAATACCATCTGGAAGCAAACCTTTTTTTTTTTGACCATTCAACACTGAAATCTTCCCCAAATCTATTACTTTAACTCAGGAATATTTCAATAAGGACTTATTTTTAATATCTTAGAAGCTGAAGGTGAGATCAATATTTTTTTCTTTGAAACCTAAAATGAATGTTTTGACTGCTAAGATATGGGAATCTCATTTAAAAATCCATGCCCTGAGGGAAGGAGGATGCCTCCAAACCAGTCGCCTCTCAGCTAAACGGTAGATTTTAGAAATGGGTTCAAACAGTGGTATCTCCAAAAGATTTTCCTCTGTGAACGGATAGCGCTGGCTCACTCGTTCTCTCTCTCTCTCTCTCTCTCTCTCCCTCGCACTCTATCTCCACTGTTCCTTATTTTGCCAGGTAATTGTATATATGTCTGTAAAATTATTACTCATAGAAAGACTTCTGTGGTTGCTTAGCCTGTTCAGTTCAGATCTGAACAACCAAAACAGCGGAAGCTCCAGTCCTCACAAAGACTGGATTTCCAGCCTTGCATTTCTGAGGTGCACCATATTTTGGCAGGGAGGTTGGGGTGGGGTGGGGAGCAAATCTATTCCTTCCATAACCCAAACTCTTTAAAAATCCAGAAAAACATATATGTGTCTCAAGAGCTCCAGACAGATGCGGGAGAAGCATCTCTAGCTGTGAGAGAAACACCCAGATCTCTACAGCTCCCTGGCTTTGCATCCTCCGAGCATTTTTCTTTTTCTTAAAATGTGAGAAGTTTCCCTAAAAGCAGCTCCTGTGGACCCAGGAGATACCCCAAAATGGCTCCAGGGCCTATTTCTAAAGATCATCTGAGGGAGCTTCTCAGGGGAAAGATAGAGGCCATGATGATGGATATTTTGGATTGCAAACAAAATGGCGACATTTTTCATCTCCGTCTCTGAAAGATACAATCCAGGGAGAAGGAGGATTTATTTCTCACATCAGATGCTTCTGATCCGAGACGCAGGTGGTTTCTCACTTCCAATTTAGAAAGGGGATGTTGATGGGGATACAGTCCTGAGGTTTTCACTTTCTGAATTTGGTTCCTTCTCCAAGCAATTCTTCAATATGAAAATAAAAATATTTCCCTTTCCTGTGCCTGCTTTTGGTCTGCCAGCCAGTCAGCTGGCAGCCCTATCTTCAATCCAGGAGTAGAAATGTAATGTTTAGCTCCTGCAGCATCAAATGAAAGAAGTACTTATAAAATTGCATTTTTATTAGAAAGATACCAATCTCCTTTCTTTCTCCTCCTCCCCCGGGGGCCATAAAAGGAGAGTGAGGAGGGATGAAGGAGAGGAAATAAATCCAGGGGATGCCAAATCCTAAATTCCGGGATAAAGAAGCAGCTGGGATGCCAGCAGTCCAGGGAGGGGCTTGGGGAGGCTCCTGAGAGTTCAGCCTTTCTTCTGCTGGAGACCTGGGTGAAGCTCTGTCTCCTTCGAGCCTCCTAGCTCCCAGTGGCGATTTTAAGAGTCATTCTCTCCTCCTGGAGCGATAAGGGACCGAAGAGCATCCACGGAGAGTCCGGTTGCTCCAGAAAATGCTCTGCATCCTCCGCATGGCTCATGATTCCCAGGGTCAAAGCATTGGCTGGTCCGCTTTGACCTGGAGGAAGATCTTGGAGAAGACATCCCTGCCTTACTCCCCAGCGGGACCTCTCAGGCACCTGTGCGTCCCCGCCCCGCTTCGGGCCGGCTGCCTTTTGTTTGTCCCGCAGTCAGCGGCTCGCAGCCCCTGCGGCCGAGCAGGCCCCTCCGCGGCAGCTGGGAATCAGGCAGCCCAGCGGGCTGGCGCTCGGCCTTTCCAGAACTGCCCGCCTCCGGGAGCTCCTGCAGCCTTCCCAAGAATTCGCCGTGCTCCGAGGCGAGCCGCCTGGCCAGGCCGCACTCCGGGAACTGGAAGGCTTGCCCCGGCCTGCTCAGCCACTTCGCCTGTCTTAATTCCAAGCAGACCCCCATCTTCGGCCAAAGAACCCCTTCTGAACACGGATATTATTCAGAATAAAAACTTTATTTATTTATTTTTTTGTTTAGTTTCTCAGAATGTGAGCAGCAAGGAATGTAGAACTCTCGAAACAAATCTAGCATTTTTCACGTTTACAGATTTTTTTTTTTTCAGTTTCGCCGGATGTTACAATCCTAAATCACTGTTTTCAAAAGCTGGATCCTCTCTGGTATTATTGCATCATTACCGTTTTTATAAAGGAATTATATTTCCCTTTCAAATAAAAATTTTTTTTCTATGTACGCCAATACACTATTGAACAAAAGGCCCAAGAAACCTTCTGAACAATCAGGGTACAGAATTTCTTTAATATAAATACGAACGGATGGGGATAAATAATATTTAAAACTTAGATTATTCAATGCTTGCAAAAAAAATATAAATAAATCTGACTGTTCACCAGCATACACACACGGAAAGACGTACACTTAGTCATCCTTGCACAGGGAGCCCCTGTTTCAAAGCGCCTTTGATTTTTTTCTCGCTCTTTACAAGAAGTGCAATTAAAAAAAAAAAACACCTAAAAATTAAAAAAAAAAAAAGTAACTGCTTCCCCTCGGGAGCCATAATGTACGAACAAATTCACATTGAAGAACTCGGCTAGAAAATTTGTTCATATACCCTGTTTCTGATCAAAGAATAGAGAAGGTAAAGGGTGCAGGGCCCGCGGCCGAGCGAGGGGTGGGAGGAGATAAACATCGCTACTGATACTGACAGCCATTCCAGCAACCAAGATTGCTACGTCACATAAACTATAAAAACGCGTTACCAAAGAAAACAAAACGGGGTGGGGGTGGGGGTGGGGGGTAGATGGGGCGGAGGAGAAAAAAGGGAGGGCAGGAAGAACCTTAAAACCAAACCCAAAAAAAGTAAACGTAGAAGAAAGGTGGGGGCAGAGGGACTCTCCTGGCGCGCAGCCCCGAGCCCACCATCACAGGTGGGTGAGCTTGGGGGCTTCCTGAATTCTTCCCTGAGAAGGATGGTGGGCGGTAAGGTCCGTGTAGGTGGGGTGCGGCTCCCCTGGCCCGGGCCCGTGATGGTGGCCGCTGCCCAGCGGCCCAGCACCCCCGTAGTCTATGGCTGCAGAGGCGGCGTGGGGGAGGTGAGTTAGGCCAAAGAGGGCAGGCCCAGAGTTGCTCATGGGCTCCACATAGCTGCCCCCCACGAAGACGGGGCTTCCCTGTAAGTGTGGGGTCCCATAGCTGCCGTTGCCCTGCAGGCCATGCGCGTGTGGGTCATAGTCGGGTGTACCCCCCGCCCCTGCCCCCGCCGCGGTGTAGCGCTTCTGTGGGGGCGGTGGGGGCGCGCAGCTTGGCAGGGGTGCGGGGTAGGAGGCGGGGGGCAGCCCATAGGCGCCCTGGGGAGGCTTGGAGAAAGGCGGGGGCGACTGGGGCTCATACGGGACGCTGTTGACCAGCGAATGCATAGAGTTCAGATAGCCGCCCGCGCCAGGGGGCACGGGGCTGCGACTTGGGGACTGGCCCCCTGATGACGTCAGCATGCCCTTGCCCTTCTGATCCTTCTTGTACTTCATGCGGCGATTCTGGAACCAGATCTTGATCTGGCGCTCAGTGAGGTTCAGCAGGTTGGCCATCTCCACCCGGCGTGGCCGGCAGAGGTAGCGGTTGAAGTGGAACTCCTTCTCCAGCTCCACCAGCTGCGCGCTCGTGTAGGCGGTGCGTGCCCGTTTGGACGACGCCTGCCCAGGCGGGCTCTTGTCGCCAGCGCAGCTCTCCCCTGAGAGGACAGAGGAGACAGCAAAGGAGAAAGGAAGAGAGCCATCAGGGCCTGCCTCAAGCCCCGCCTAGCCCCTGACCCCTCCAGGCCCCTCAGTTGCTTCAGGCTCCAAGACCCCTCTGTCAGGGCCCAGAAAAGGGGATGAGGAACCAGGTCCCCTCCTCTGTGCTGGTGGGGAAACAGTGCCAGTAGCTGGTAGCTAACCCCTCCTTCAGTCAAGTTGCAAGTCATAAGCTTCCCTAAGGGAGGAGAGGTAAGGAAAGAAAAGCAGAACCCCCAGTTTGCCTTCCTGGAGCTATTCACTTTCTGAATCCTTTACTGATCCTTCAGGCCTGTCAGACTACAGGCTCCCTGTGGGCGGGTCTCCCATGTTCATTCCCTTCACAGTAACTGACATGTGGGGCACCTAATACACTGAATAAACCTTTCCCTAATTCACTGTCTGACTGAAGGATTGGCCAGTTGCCTCAACGGGCCACTTATTTAGTCTACCCACTGGAGATGGGTGGAGTGGAAGCCTTATTCTGAAAGGCCTCCTGTGTGCAAAGGAAGAGATCCCATTGAAAGTACCAATTTCTGGTGGGGTGACCCAGGCCCCTGACTCTGGGTCTTATTAATTAGGGCTCTTGGTGTCATCAAGCAGCCTCCCCATTTTCACCCACTAATCTTGTGCCCTCCTATCTTCCCCCCCACTCCCAAATCTCAGACTCTGGGGCGGGTGGGGGGTGGGGGGTCCCAGATGCTGAGGCCTAGAGCAGAGTACTGGCAACTGGAGGTTGCCAGTAAAAAGGTAACCAAGATGCTGGGAAGCCCAAGACCCAGGACCTGTCCTTCAGTCTAGTTCCTGGAGGCCCATGTGGTTCCCATTAGCATGACAAGTCCAAATCCCCTCCCCCAGGAGATCTCTGGCTGCCTTCATTGTACTAAGTCTGAGTAGGGCCTTCCCAGAGGTAAGGCAGCCACTCCATCTACTGGAGCAAAAATTAAAAATAGGCTCTGTTTTAGGCTCTGTTTATAACCGAAGCTTGAATTCTCACTTGGATGGTGACTAGGTGTGCTTTTATCCTGCCACATTTCAGTGTGGAGTGGATGTTACTGTTTCATTAGACATGAGGACTTGTGGAGCACCTGGGTGGCTCAGTGGGTTAAGCCTCTGCCTTCAGCTCAGGTCAAGGTCTCAAGGTCCTGGGACTGAGCCCCCACATGGGGCTCTCTGCTCAGCAGAGAGCCTGCTTCCCCCTCTCCCTCTGCAGGCCTCTCTGCCTACTTGTGATGTCTCTCTCTGTCACATAAATAAACAAAATCTAAACAAAAAAAAAAAGAAAGAAAGAAAGAAAGAAAGAAATGAGGACTTGTGCTAAAAAGAGAGAGTGGAGCTCAGGTTTGTTGTGCCTAAAGGTCCTAACTCCAAGAGTGGAATAAGAAGGGATTCCAAGCTCCCTAGGCCCCACTTGCTCTTGCAGAAGTCAAGAGAGACTCCCATCAGGTCTTCTCTGGGGTTTCCTGGTCAGAGTCCTGTCACCCCCCCTAGTTGAAGGAGAAGGCGCAGTTTACTCTTGAATGTGTTCCAGTGCTCCCAGACTGTACTGGCTGTGGCTGGAGATGGCTGGGGGGCGGAGGGGGTGGGAAGCGGGAGCCAGGCCAGAGGACCCTCCTCCAGAAGCCACCGTTTACCTGAGCTGGAGCCGCTTGTTTTCTGCTTTGTGTTTTGCCGAGACTCTTTCATCCAGGGGAAGATTTGTTTGGCCACGGTGGGTGAGTTGAGTAGGGGGCTCTTGGCTGCGCTGGCGGGGGTGGGGTTGCTGCTGGCATTCTGAGGTGGGGAAACTGAAGAGGGGGGAGGGGGCGCGGCAGGAGCCGGTGCTGGGGGCTGTGGCGGGGGTTGCGGCTGCGGTGGAGCTGGGGGCGCGGCCTGGGGCGGCGGCGGGGCCAGAGGTGGCTCCCCCAGGCCTGGGGGCTGGCTGGGCGGGCCGCTCAGGGTGCGCAGACACGCCTCGCTCAGCTCGTGCGCCTTGGGGTGGCCCCCGCCGCTGGTGGGCGACTGGAGGGAACAGGCGGGTCGGTGGTACTCGCCATCAGCGCCCAGTGCCGCGGACGCCGGGTACGGCTGCTGACTGGCATTATAAGCGAACCCGTTGGCTGCCTGGTAGGGGTAGCCACCGTAGATCGCGGAGCTGTCGTAGTAGGTCGCTTTTTGCATCGCGTTGTTTCACAATCTTGATCGCACACTCTGACAGGGGCTTGACACCCGTGAGGGCGCACATTGGCACGCCCCCGCGGTCACGTGACGCTCCGCCGCCAATGGCCGCCCCGCGCAGACCTGGGGGGGGCGAGAATCGCAGCGCGGTGAGGGCTCCGCGCAAATCCATCTTACTCTCAATAGCTAAGTGACATGAAAGCCATAAAAGAAAAAGTGGTCAGCAATATTTAGCAGCACGACTTGGCCCCGGGCGCGGAGAGCCGCGCTATAAAAAGCCGCTGGAATTTACTGGCAGCTACAAATATTTGCTTAACTTGCGTCTGGAGTTGGGGGGTTTTCCGGGGAGAGAGGAGGAGAGTCACCGAGGGCTCGAAGCCCGGTCTCCAGAGCTGGAGTCCAAAAGAAGAAAGGCTGATGGGCTAGAAAGGAGCAGGGCTGAGATCCTTCCTTTCCAGGGAAGGAGAAACTTAGGGTGTCCCTTCATCTCCGCTCCTTGGCCTCGTCCGGTGAGACCCGGGGCTCCTTGCCTCTCAGGATCTTGGGGAAGGGGCAAGGGGGCAAAGGGGAGAGTAGGTTGCCAATTTGTTCTCCAGTCGCTTTAGGACTAATACTTGTCAAAAAGAGCCCTGACGCGGGGGGACTTCCCATCCAGCCCCTTCTTGGATCTTCCAGCACCCAACAGAGGTATGCACAAAAAACTCTGAGGCAATTGCCCTACTCAACCCCCGATGGATTTCAGAAGCTGAGCTTCTTAGGCAGTTAATCTACCCCTGTGCAGGGATATGACCTACCTCTTCCAAATGAGCCCCTTGTGGCCAAGAGGGTGGAGAAAAAACTTTAGAAAGAACATCCTGTATGGGAAGGGACCAATAACAACACTGGCTTCAGCAAGTCAAACTCAAATCCTGGACAGTTCTTTACTCCTTTCCTCTCCTTATTTTCTCAGGCACGACCCAGCAAGCCACTCCCACTTGTTTCCCCCTGTTACAGAAGGTCCCCAGACCCTCCTGCCTTGGGCTTTCTGAGGTGCTGTTATTCAGGGCAACTATCAAATTCTACCTGTTAAAACATGATGGATTAGAGAAAAAAAACCCAACCCACCAGGAACCTGAAAAACCAGCGTTCATCTCCATGACCACGGCTTGAACTCTCCCTCCAACTTAACGATAATAGGTTCTGTCTTAGAAACTGCTATGTAATTTGATGTATGGGGGTCATTTGGCTCCGGACAAGGGATGGAAGCGCAAGCCATAAAATCCTGCCAGAGTTCCCTGATCTTTGTGTGCTGTTGTTGTTGATATTTGTTACTTAGCCGATTTACCTGCTTCAGAAACACCAAGCAAAGGTCAACCCTGAAAATCTTAAAAGCAACTGAAAGCCTCCTCAACCCTTTTTTAAAATTTATTATTTAGAAAGCAGTTTGCGGAAGTGAAATCTATGTTTTATTTTTGTTTTCAGCCTTTGCATGGTCAGTCTCTGGTTCTCAGCTGAGAGAAGTTCCATGTGAGTTCATATACACACACATACACACACAGAGGATGATAGTCTGACTATTTAAGAAAACATAATGACAAATTCATGAAGAAAATGGCTTAGTTCACACCCTAACTACATATATTTCAGTCCTGGAATCATTCAAGTTCTCTAGAAATTGCAGACACTTTGTTAACTAGAAAACACCATCCACCAACAGATGATTACAATTCTGTTTTTAATAATGGGCTTCTCTGGATTTTATTATTAAACCAACAATCTGACCAACATCTGGAAAACAAGCACAATTAATTTTCCAGAACCTCAATTAAAAATTACAGCTTCCCTTATCCGAACTTACTGTGCGTGATCTTGAGCCCTGGAATATTGTTTCTATTTTGGAATAGATAGGAAGCTACAGATACCATGATCGAAAATAAATAAAGAATAAAATAAAATTTAAAACTGAATAGCAATCGAATATCTCAGTTTCCTGTTCTTTCACTGAAAACAGTTCTTATTATATTTGGCAGTGTTAATGTCTGCCATTATAAATTCTTAAGATACTAGGCTTGTGTAAAATAAAATGTCAGGTTAAGAAAATTACTCCAGACACTTGAGCAGCAAGATATTAGATAAAACAAAATGAAGGTGATTTTGAACGTGTAACATTTCAAGTGACTTGCTAATCCATTATCACAAGCTATATTGGCCTGCTGCTTAAGTCTTTTCATCAGGTTGTGCATTGTCTTGTAAATAACAAAAATACCATGAAAAACCAAAGAGCATACAACAGTCCCTATAATATGAATTCACCTCAGAGATCCCACCAAAGTCCTCCCTATTGTTTGAGGTCAGCAGACAACTACCGTGGGGCCCACACATTTCCCCCCTCCTGCCCTCACCCCAGCCCCCAAAGTTTGCAACCTAGTAAAGAAGTTGGATATCTGCCAGTCTGGAAACTTGCTTTGCACCCGCGCCCCTCACCCCAAGCAAGGGCTGGGACGGGAGGAGATTCCTCCGAAAAGATCTGTTTCTGGACAATAACCTCCAGGTGCAAGAACTGAGAGTTGAGAAGGCTAAATTGAGTGCAGAAAGCAAACCCTATTGTCTTTCTGGAAGATCTGCCCAAATTCAACCTCCTTCCTTCAGAGACCGCACCCTGTTTTCACTCCTGCCCCTTCCTCAGCCTGCCCTCACCCCGAGTTTAAGCGGGAATATCGGGTAAGAGCCCCCCTGTCCCCTTGCCCACCCTCCCTCCCTCCCCAACCCAGAAAAGTTGGGGCTGGGCTAGGGGAGAGGGAAGAGGTGGGGGCGGGGATGGGAAAGCGGCCTGAACTCGAAGTGTAAGGGTATCAGTCACTGCCGGGAAGGAAGCTCCGGCTTGTGAACTCTTCTTGAACCGAGATTTAAGTCTGCAGCCATAAATCACCGAGACGTAAACTCCGCCATTCAGCGCTGAGAGCGGCCGGTTGTGGCCCTGCTTACCTTAACTTCTGAGGAGCGCCGCGAGCGCTGGCTCGGGCTCGGGCTCGGGCTCCGGCCCCCGGCCCGGATCGGCCGCCCGGCCGGGTCCCCTAGGCGCGGGATGGGCACCGACCCTCAGCATCAGCCGAGACGGCAGGCGGGAGGGAGACCCCAAGGCCCGGACGCCGAGGCGCAGAGCGTGGCGGCTTCGCTGCTCCGGCAAGGCTCGCCCAGGGCGGACTGGGGCGGCTTGGACCCCCCCTCCCACCCACCCCACCCACCCACCCCTCCCCCACACCCCCGCCCCCTGCCCTTCCCGAGGGCAGCAGCCGCGGCCCGGAGATAAGCGCTAGCGCGGCGCAGGGCTCTGCCTGGGCTAGTGGCACCGACTTGGGTATGTTTCTTATGAATATTACACGCGGAGCAGCGTCTGGTCGGGGGGGGGTGCGGTGGGGGGTGCTGGGGGCGGGCGGGAGGGGAGGCCGAGGCGGCTGGGGAAGCGCGGGGCGGCGTGGGGGATGGGGCTAAGGCGAGGGGAGGGACAGGAGCGAGAGGGGGAACTCGGCGGCGGCGGCGGCGGCGGGAGGAGGGCAGCCTCACCCCCAACCCCCAACGCCCTCCCTCTCCTCGCTTCTAGGCGTCACTAAAGTCCAGGAAAATTATGCTAATGAGGACAAAGGGCTCTCACAAAGGGGCTCTCTAGCCGGGCTCTATTTCTTAGGAATCCATTTGAGAAACCACATAACGCCTGCCCTGGACACTTCCAGTTGGGGTGCAAGGGGAAAGAGAATCAGGAGGCGAGTTCCCCAGACTTTGGGCACTTTACCACATCTGTCACCCCCAATCTGAGAACCTCAAAGGCACTCTTTGGGGGGCAGAGGTACAGCTTCCTTTCTCAAGAGACCTCCCCAAGAGTCAACTGGGCTGTCTTTGGTTATATTTTTAGGCAAAAACCCTTAAAATTCTGGCAGCCAGGAGGGAAGTAGCCTGGGGGAGATGCGCATAAGCCCAGGCAGTGAAAGGGGATGCTCTGGGCTCAGGTACACACTAGAATGCCTAGAAAACTGGGTCTCCAGCTTTTCGGTGCCCATTTCCCAGTACAGACAGGCAGCTCAATGGCAGGGAAAGACATAAAACTCTCACCCCAAAGCCAACGGTGTCTATGATGTTTCCCCCTCAATTAGTGGTATGCAGGGACCCTAAGCAGAGGAAGGGCCACAGTGTGCCCGGCAATATTGCCACAACTTTAAGGAGGATGGGCTTCCTGCCTTCTAATGCCCTTCTCAACTCTCCAGAGTCCGAAGTGAACTCTGCAAGGGTATGTGTGTGGCATAAAGAGAAATGGAGCTTTCGTGCAATTCCAAGGTGTCAACGGCCAGTCCTTCTCAAAGGAAGGTGTTAAAAATATAAGTAGTATGTTTAAACTGTCAGGGAGCCAAAGTGTCACCTTAGAGCAAAAACAAAGCCAAGGGAAAAAGGAGAAATCAAAAAGCACTCCTGGCCAGGGTGGCCTCATGCATACCAATGGTTTTTGTCATTTATGGCTGGGCAAGATTTATGACTCGGCGCCCCAAAGCTGTAAACAGAGCACAAAACAGCAAACACTTGCTCCTCATGGCATATTGCGGCCGTAACTTGAAAGGGGGAGCCGGGCAGCGTAGGAGGTGAGAGCCGCCGCAAAAATCCACTCGGCTGCATTTTCTCTTCAAACCGGCCGGGTCGGATGTGGCATTTGAAGAAAGAAGGCGTGGGTCAATAATCAACCCGCACTTTCTCCTCCAAACTGCTGACACGACTCTCACCGCCTTCTCAGCTAAGCCAGCTGCAGGGAAGGCCAGCTTTCCGTGAGAACCTGCCAGGGGAGGGGAACTCCTGGGCCAAGAGGGCCGAGGGCGCCGAGGTGAGGGCTGGGGCAGCTGGGGAGCATACCTTTTCAAAGGCGCCAAGACCGTGCCGGGCAAAATGCTGGGACTGGACTGGAGGAGCCACGGGACCCTAGGGAAAGCTGGGGCGGGAGGTCGGGACAGGGTCCCCACCAGTCCCAGACTAGGTGGCTTTTGGGTGGCTCGCTGCCGCAGGCAGAAATGGGTCTCCGACCTCAAGTCTAGGGTCTGCCGCCCTGGCACGGAGACCTCCGGAGTTTGGGCCTCTCTGCTGAAATCCACAGGACTGACTTTTGG